ACATCGCGACGAATCATCCATCTTGACCATGATTATCAAGTCTTATGAGCCTGCTTATACACAACTTACATCTTGATCTATTTGATTGAAGGCGCCATGATCACCTCGAACAGGTGGTGATACGAACCGCATGGTTGAACTTGGCCAATAAAGTAAGAATCCTTCCCGACGCTTGTTTGGGATGACCATTTTTAGGACGCGAGGAACTCCGCCGCTGCAGCACAGCACAGCCCCCGAGCTGAAGCTGACTGAGACCCTACCAGCCAAAAGATGATCAGTTAAGATCACCCGTATCCCTTGAGGCTAAAACTATCAGCTCTACCGGCGCCTTCACAGTTTCGTCTGCGTCGTAAACGCTGGGGTTCCAAGTGTTGATGGCTTTTGCATCAACTACATCGCAGGCAGCGAAACAAAGAGCTTGACAATTTGGATCGCCCACGACTGAGGGTAAAACAGTCACCGAAATGGATCATTCACCATCAGAGCCAGTCTCACCTGGTCGGCGGCATCTCATGCGCCCGTTACTGCTCGTTTTGGCGTTCATTTTCGCCCTCTTCGTCGCTCTCGTCCAGATCTTGACTCTTACGGCCGGCACCTGGGTAATCCGCGACAGCAACGGTGCCCAACGTCTTGGGCTGTCGAGCCTCGCTATAGTGGAGGTAAGCAGAAGGCTCTCCTCGATCATCGCGAGCTCTTCAACGTAGACTGACCCTCACGAACCCACAGTTTGACGGCATCATCGCATCACAAACGAACCCAAACACCTACCTCGTAACAATGCACCAATTCGCCGCCTCCTTCGCCTATACCTACCCATCCAAATCCCTCGCAGGCACTCTCGACCCATCCCCTCACCTCCCCTACGATTTCGGCGCCGTCGCTCACGCCCTCCGCCTCCCCGAGTCCGAATGGGCATGCTACCACTTCGCCCAAGACGCCTGCCAGAACAACCCCTTCCTCAGCGCCTTTCGCAACTCGTGGCTCATCCTCCCCACCGCGACAGCCAACATCGCCCTCGTATATGCGCTCGTCGTGGTATCCTACCTCTTCGTCACGGAGCTGCTCATCGCCGTGCGGCCGAGCTGGCTGCGATGCCAGTGCTACTTCTCATGTATCAAGCGCGTGTGTCCGTGTCCGCGCGGGACGAGAGCGGAGATTGAGGCGTTGCCGCCGGTGTTTTGGGATCGGTATCGCGGGTGGTGCTGGTTTATGTTGCCGGCTGCGGCGTTCTTGCCGGCGTTTACGTTGGGGGGAAACGGGATGCTGCTGAAGGAATATGTTAACCGGCCGAGGGGTCTGGAGGGGGATGTCAATGGGCGGTTTGGGACGGGCTTTGCGATTTTGCAGGCGCTTTGTTTCGCGGCTTCAGTTGCGGGGGCTGGGTGTATGGTGTTGAGGAGACGATTGGGGATGAGGAAGAGTTGGATGGAGGAGCAGGGTGTTGGGTTGAAGAGAGGGGCTTGAGTCGATTACTGGCGATACCCAGGGATAGAGGAAATGTGATGATTTTCTTGCGTCTGGTTGAATAAGAGCATCGAACTCTGATCCGATCCGATGCCGCACCGGTCCGGGAGAGAAACCGGAGCTCCTGGGTGGAGCGTGGAGCCAAAAACCCGCAGATTGCCCACTTGGAGCCGGCAATGTGACGATCGGCACCGGTCCACTGCGTCAGATCCGATCCGATCTGATCTCTGCCACACAGAGAGCGTGCGGTTGCTTCTCGTCGCGTAGGACATGAGTACGCCTCTCGAGCAGAAGTTCTTCCACTTGAACAACCACACCATTTCGCACCAAGCCTCATCCCCAGTTCACAGATGGAAATGTCTCACTAGCTCATTCTCTGGAGAATGGGCCGCGACTAATCTGCGACTAACCCCATTGACGAATCATGGCCTCATCATTCAAGTTGGTCCCTGCCGATCGGTTATGGAATGTCTAGTAGCTCCGCAAGCGCGGACCGTTCGCACCATATGCTGATGTCATTGCCCACATGAGAAGCTGTCATCGATTTACGCCTCGCATGAGACACCATGGAGCGAAAGAGCTGGTCTTTGGATGATGCCATGGACTCGTCACAGGTAGCTCAGCAAAACAAAGCTGAGCTCTGAGCTTGCTCATTGATACAAGCTGGACAGAATCCATACTCACCGCCCTTACCTTACCTCCATCAACCCTTCTACCAATCAATTTTTCTACGAAGGAAGTTTGCTACCTCAAATCACCACAACTACACAACTCACAATTCACACATCGAACAAATTTCACATAATGTCCCGTCAAAACTACGCAGTCCCCCTAATGGGCGTAGCAGCCCTTCTAGGAGGCGGCATCTACTACGTCCGCAAGCCCTCTACAACCGCAGGCGACCCTGCCCAACAAATCGCAAACAACGCAGATAACTCCCGCCCGTCTTCCGACGCAGTCGCAGAGCAGCGCAAGAAAGCCGCCGACGCGAAACGCGACAATGGCCTCGGCGGCGCAGGCATCGGCACCAACACGGGTGCCACCGGTGGCGCGGAGCTGAGCACCGGCAATCGAGGCGGCAGCAGCGCCGACCGTGATACTCCCAAGGGTCCCAAGGACAAGTTCCCCTCTGACGCTGGGGAGATTGGAGGCGGACCAGGAAGGGCAAACTCGAACACCCGGGCGATTGAGACGCATGGTCCTTCTATGACACCTGGGTCGAGTACATTGACGGGGGCATTGACCGGGAAGAGTAACGGTCCTAGTACCTCTGGAAGCAGTGGCAGTTCGGGAGAAGGCATTGGGTCCAAGATCCAAGGGTTCTTCACGAGTTCCAGCAAGAGTAATGAGAAACCCAGGCAGTCTCCGGTCGATACCAAGATTGTGAGCCACTCGCCTGATACGCCGACGAACCGTGGTGGAAGCCCCTGGGATAAGGAAAGGAGGGACGTGGTCAACCACAACCGCTCCGCAGAGTCATGATTTACGTATGGGTATTGCGTTTGTATCATACATATTAGCATTAAGAGCGAGGTCATTTGTGATCTCGTTAATTCAATCATCAAAACTTCGCACCGAGCTTCTTCTCATCCTTCATCTGCTGCTCGTCAACCACAATGACAGCCTTGCCGCTCATCTGCCCCGTGTGCACAAGCTCAACAAGCTCATGAATCTTATCCAACCCATGAAAGACATTCGTCTTGAGCTTGATCCCATTCTTCGCAACATGCTCCATCAACCCAACGCTCTCTTCCCTTGAACACAGCAAACTCCCCTTCACCCTCACATCCCGAAATACCAATTCCTGGAACGGGATCTTCACCTCATCAGGCTGCGCAATCTGCACCACCGTTCCATGCATCTTTGTCACTGCACAAGCCAGAGCCGCAGCCGAATCCGCATCAGACAAGTTGAGCGTGGCATCTACACCCTCCCCTCCATTCGCAGCATCCTTCGCTTCCCTCACAACATCTTCCTTCTTCTCCCTCGCGTCAAGAACCACATCCGCGCCGCTCGTCCTCGTCAACTCCAATCCCTCGTCCCGCGCATCGATGCCAATGACGCGCAAGCCCAAAGCCTTGGCAATCTCAATCCCCAAATGACCTAGCCCGCCTCCTGACCCCAGGATCGCAAGCCACTGGCCCTCCTTCAGCCCAGCCTGCACCACACCCCTCCAGACCGTCCGTCCAGCACACGCCAGCGGCGCGGCACTGAGGAACGAGACGGCATCCGGGATCGGCACGGTAGATCGCGCGTCGACCTTGACATACTCCGCAAAGCACCCGTCCACATGGACCCCGACGTGGCCCTCGATGCGGCTGCAATACTGCCGAAAGGTCTCTGGTGCAGAAGTACAGTCGAAGCAGGAACCGCACGGGTGAAGCGGGAGACCGCACATGACTCTATCGCCTACTTTGAAGTTGAAGTCTGAGGATGCGGACGCCGGGCCGACAGCGACGACAGTGCCGGAGCCTTCGTGGGATGCGGTGCAGGGGAGGGAAGTGGCGAAGATGCCGGAGGAGACCATGCTGTCTGTGTGGCAGTAAGATGCGACTGCGATTTTGACGAGGAGGTCGTGAGGGGCTAGAGAGGTGGGAGAGGGAACGGGGATTGTTTGGATTTCGTAGGGGTTGTTAAAGGATGTTACGCGGATTGCTTTCATTGTTTTGGGGATCTCTGTGGTAGCCATCTTTGCGGGCTTGGGTGATTGAGTTTCGATTAAGCTGGTGAGGTTTTGAGTGAAGGCAATGGTTTGTTGATCTTTTCGTAGTTGAGTTGGTGTGCTTCCTCTTCTAATGATTGATGAGTCTTTCGTATGGTGTTGTCAAAGATGTGATGACGTCGAACCCTTGAGTGGTTCAAGTTTGTTTAGCTTCCCCCGCCGGATCCAAGGCGGTCCGACGCCGACTATGCTGGACTAAGGTAGGATGTCGGATCCGATGGTTCACCATGGATTTGCCGAGTTTGATGGTCTTGGAGAAGGCGACGTCGCAACCTTAATTCTTCTAAGCTGCGCACCGATGTAACAAGGTGCCGTCGGACTCATACGCGTGGTTAATGGACTGATAACATTGCCATTGAAACCTGGGGTGCCGGGATGAGATATTCGGGCAACGCCCATCCCTGGTATAAAGAAATCATCAGATCTTAATCTCCATAATGAATGCCGTAGAATGTTAATCACCTCTAAGCGCCTGGAGCTCATGGATGCTGATCGGGCGGATCGTCGATCAGACGCAGTGGAGGAGGAAGGTAATGACTGACACATGGTAGTATAACAAAAGACTGTAGTTGCAATAGCATCATGGTACACAAGCTCGAAGAAGAATCAGTTTGAGATCACTGTTTATAAGTGAAGACAGCGGTAGAGGCAGCAGAAGTGCTTATGTGCATTGTGATATATATACGCTCAGCTCGGAGGAGTATACGCCATCGACTCCGAACAAGCCCCCAGGGGCTGAAGTATGTACATGAATCCAAGTTTTATGTACTTGAGATAAGATTTTAATAAATATGAACCGGGAGAAAGAGTGCATTTATCGCAGGAGAGCGTGGACAGTGGAGTTGTACGTGTCGACACAACCGCCGAGGTAGGTCGACGTCAGAGAAGCAGTCGTGTTCTTGGCAAGCGCGGCGAGTGCAGTGGTGCCGCACTTGAGGCCGAGGACAAATGACTTGTGAATAGCATCGGCAAGGAAGGGCGCGGTGTGGGTGTGGTCGTTGGGGTAGTTCGCGTTGGTGGTGGTCGCGCCGAGACCCTTCATCGCCTGGGCGGCGTACTCGCCGTGCGGGACGAAGTAGTAGCCCTTGGAGGGGCCGCCGAGCTGCTCAACGGCGAGCCTGGGTGTTGGTGTTAGTCTCCAATCTGATGGCTGTTTGGACGATGAGAAAGTTGAGGGCTTACCAGGCGTAGTAGAAGAAGCGATCGTATCCGAACTTGTAGGTGCCAGTCTCCCAGACGTTGTTGGGGGTCGCGGCAGCGATGATGACCTGCAAGATGAGTGTAAGCCAGGAATCCATGTGAGATCAGAGATGTAAGTCGGTGATCATGCCTTGGCACCAGCAGCGTTGAACTTCTTGGCGGCATTCTTAAGGTACGCAGGGTACGTGAGAACAGTCTCGGCAACACCACTTCACAACAGTCAGCATCGTCTTCTTCATCAAGAACCCTAGCAAACCAGCAAATACTCACTTGTAGGTAGTCGAGCAAGTCTGCGCACCATCACCAAAGCAATCCGTCCGTCCGTTGTCGGTAGGCGTAAGCGAGCCGCCGTCATTGTGACCAAACTCAATGACGACCCAGTCGCCTGACTTGACGAGCCCAGCCACGGTATCGAAGCGGCCCTCGCGGGTGTAGGAACGTGCGCTGCGGCCGCCAATGGCGCGGTTGTCGACCTTAGCTTTACTGGTCGAGAAGGAGTACTGCAGGAACTGGCCCCAGCCTTCGGTGCCGGAGCCGCCGCCGCCCTTAGCTGTGGTGCTGTCGCCGCAGAGGTAGATCGTCGGGACGGTCTGGCGCTTCTCGACGGACTCGGCGTCGGTGGGGAGGGCGGAGGCCAGGCCTAGGAAGCCAGCGAGGAGCGCGATGTTAGTGCGCATCGTGTCTTGTTTTGAGAGAAGGACTGTGGGTGAGGTAAAGAGTGACAGGGTTCTCCGGAGCGAGCGAAGGGATGTGTATGTGTCTCGTGAGAAGATGGGGTGGAAGGCTTCAGCTTGGAGGAAGGAAGCTTTGCCTTATAGCTTATAGGAGAGCGGCTCTTGACTGACTCTTGACAAGCTTTCCGTCAGGGCCGGGATACGTGGGAAATCCCATCTTCCAGCCAATATTAACTAGAGTCTAGTGCACCCCCTCGACCCCGGTTCATTTGTTTCCAACGATCGCCTATACGCCTCCTCAATATCGCCAATGTGGAAGAACACCAGTCAAACTCGACGAGGGTGGTTTCCACTCGTCCGGGTGACCGGGTCCTCCCCATCTCGGTCGAGTCCTGGGCGAGACCACAATAACGGGAAAGCGGCGGATTGCTCCAGCGGTAGACCACCGGGGGGCCGGTCCTCGTGGTGTGCCATATAGAGTAGACTTTTACGTTAGCGAGCGGCTGCAAGGCAAGGAAAAGACCAGCAATCAGACGAGCCGCAGGCTCGCAGCGGCACTTGAGGTAACATCGGGGCTCCTCTCCGCCCCGCACACGGAGGACGGCGGTGCTGCTTCGTTTCGAAAGGGGCCTGGTGGCTGCATTCCTCGAATCTCCGTCGCTGGCTCATCTCTCTGGTGTCTGCTACATGGAAGGATCACAAGTGAAAGACTGCTCAGATCGACTGTCATTGAGTATACTTAGCCCGTCTGATTGTTTCGAGCATCATCACAACATTGCTACTGGACAGGAACCGAGCCACTCAGATGGTGTAAAACGTCCAAACCATAGACATCCCTTACTCCTCTCCACTTACGGCTAACCGATGGCGCAATACAATTAATCTGGTTCAGTGGTTGCTGTGTGCTAGAAAGGGGCGTTGGAGGGGAGGGGGGCTCTGTCTTTCGTGTTTCACGACGTCCGTCGTCGAGCAAGGGAAATCTCCGCCAATCGCGGGCTCTCGTCGTTGAGGTGGCCCGTCCTCAACATCGTGGAGCACTGGGAGTTGGACCACCGACCACGCGGACTGAGGGCGGAGTATGGAGCTTCCAAGCTGGGATGTTCCCAGCGGAGAAGCCTTGCCCTTTTCGGCGACTAAATACGACCCGAGTCGCCGTACACAGTAAGTTGAATACTGGTGAGATTAATGAGGGAGAGAGAGCAGTAGCTCGTCCCCCGTTGTGGCCCGAGTTGAGGTGTCTGGTGCCTCGTGGGAAAGATGGCGCGAGGAAGTGAAGTTAGTCGGTCGAAGAGAAAAAGGGACTAAGCTGAGTCTAACCCCGCGTTGAAGTGCAGAACTTCTTCCCCTTTCGAACGGGTCAGCCGACGGGAGCGCTTGTAGGCTGGCTCAAGAGAAGTTGTGACGACGGAACCATTCGCGCCGTGCAGTGTGTGCCTTGTTCCTGATGTTCCATTCTTCCAGAATGACTGCCCCGATGCAGTGGAAAGTTCGCCCAGACGCGGGCCCAAGACGGGATGCCGGCACTTGTTTTTGGGCTGCTTGCGCCGTACTGAGTGGAGGGGGCGGAAGCTAGATTTGTTGAACTCGTTTAAAAGACGGCTAACCGGATTTCCAAAGGGTTTTTGATCAGATGAACATGGCCGTCCTACCCGAGGAGACTGCAGTCTGCTTATTGGTGCAAATTGTTCTCGGTGCAACGTCTGAAGGTGTCTCCAAGCTTTTGGGGAATCACGGCAGGGGTCATCCTGAGGGTTGGCAAAGCTTAAACGAAGAGCGCGAGTCGAGGCATCCGTGCGAATTACTCCGTACTTGTGTTGCGCGCAGTTAGCGCAAAAGCTTGTCATGGGAGAGAGGGCCAGTCAACGCTTCAGAGATGAGAAGGGGACAGCTGGGGGGTTGGTGATGGTTTTCCGTTAGTGTCTATGGTGTCATCTGTGCTCTCATCTTGTTGATATTCCTTATAAAGCAGACGAGGTCGATAGTCTGGTCTAGATGCTTGTTGCGATGCCTGGGTGGGAATTCGCGTTCGGAAATTTGGTTACTTAAAAAGGTTGAAACTGGGGTAGGGTCCTTAGGGAGCTTAAAAGCAGATTGCAGGGCGAGCTGCGATGCGCTGCGGCATTACGGGAATAAGAAATCCCTATGGGTTCGACTCACCTCGGTGAATCGGTGAATCGGTGGCCAGGTCGGTCTGCGACACGGTACGGGTCCGGTGACCGGAAGGGTGACCGGAGCTAGACCGAAAGTTGGCCGCTTTCCCAGAAGCTCAGGCCGGGCCTAGAATTCGAAAATCTGCGTGCTTTTCTCTATAGCGTAATGCAAATGTCGGCCGAGAAACATGTTGTAGGTTACTCTGGCACCTCCATACAAGTTTTGGTCATGATGAGTACTTTCCGCTTCAAAAGCAAGGCGGATGGTGTCATGGGTACACGTTTCCATGCTAAAGGGCCGATCTCGTACCATAGGAACATTGAAACAAGCGCGACTGTAGCCGGATGACCGGATTTGAATGGAACTAGACCTGCGATAGAATTGAATTGACTTGAGAACCTCGGAAAGAATCGTGAGGGAAGAGATCTTCTCCCACCGTGCGCCAAGCGTATTCACCTATTTTTCGCTCGGTGGTTTCTGTGGGCAAGATCACCAGATCCTGGCATTGCGATTCAACTTCAGGAACAAATGCTGGTGAAAGATTGACTATATGCATCCAGATGAGGCGGTCCAACGACGCAAAATACACAAAGATCGAGGGTAGAAGCTAGTCAAAGATAAGTCTGTCCGATCGTCTGAATGTCTATGGTCATCTGCATCCCTGCTAGTGTGCCGCATCGCCGGGTCGACCCCATAACCATGTTTTCGGGATCAACCATCCGCCAATTCTCAACACACTCATCGTTTAGATACATGAGTAATATCTCACACTCACACACGGGAACTGCTGGCTGATGGATTTCGAGGCTGACTGGAATGCGCCTCTTCCAGCAAGGGGTCCTGCGGTTGCCAGGGATGCTTATTGCTGACATCTTCGCACTGGGGGTGGATTGCGGCTGGCGGAGCTGAATGCTTATCGGAATGCTCATAATTGGCCAGAATACGGCCACAGGAATTCTTGCACCGCGCCGGGAAACGGGTGCCTGCATAATGGAGCTGATGGGACCATTCTTAAAGAATCCCGCGTGGCCAAACGAACGTTGGTTAGCCCAAGTCCAATGCTTTTTACCCCTCGACTGACAATCGAACCGAACTACTGGAAGTCGTCATCAATCGCAGCTGCTGTATAGTAGAGAACAGCACTACCTAGCTCGGTATCAACGAAGAGCCGAAGAGTCGAATAAAAGCACGGAAGGGGCATACAAACATCCCAGAAAGTGACGCAAAAGAAGCTGCCATCATGGCGCCCACGGACAAGATCTCGCTCGAGTTCATCACCACCGGCAACGTCTGGATGCATACCGGGATGCAAGGCCAACCCATAGAGAACCGCAATATCGCTCTCCGCTTCCTCCGCTCCTTCACCGGCGACTGGATTGGTCCCATGCCCCTTGGTGCATTCCTCATTCACCATCCCAAGGGTCCCATCCTCTTCGACACGGGCGTGTCAACACACTGCACCGAACCGGGCTACTTCCCCTGCTGGAACCCGGTGCCAGGCATCCTTAACAAGTTGGAAGTTACAAGGGAGGACGGCATCGTCACGCAGCTCCGGAGACGCGGCATCGAGCCGACAGATCTGCAGTTTATTATCATTAGCCACCTACACCACGATCACGCCGGCGGACTAGAGGTTCTTGCTGTCGAGGCGCCCGATGTGCCCATCTACGTCGGCGGAGAACACTGGGATGCCTTTGGGAAGCATCCAGTCTATGCTGCTATGCAAGGGTGCACGCCAGACCGGTGGCCCAAGGATTTCGAGCCGCGGATCCTTGATTTTGAGGAACAGCGCGCTGTCGGGCCTTGGGGTCGGTCGTGTGAGCTTGCGCCGGGCGGCACGATTGTCGCGGTCGATACGCCGGGCCACGTGCCGGGTCATATCTCGTTGATTGTGGTGGGGGACAACGACGATGGGAGTAAGACGAAGTATTTTCTGACGGGGGATGCGACGTATGCGATTAGTGTGTTGGATAAGGAAGAGCCGGATGGTGCGAATAGTGATCCTGTGGCGGCGTTTGAGAGTTTGAAGAAGATTAAGGCGTATGCTCGGAGTCACGACGTCGTTGTGCTGCCGAGCCACGATCCGAATACGCCCAGGTTGCTTAGGGATAAGGTGGTCTATCGGCCTGGAAAACATTAGATGGGTGTTGCAGTACTTATGACAGAGGAGAAAGCACGGCTGTAAGTTATAGGAAGATAGACCGAATGTGGGACTCAAGAGTCAACTGAACGTACAGCCCTAGATTGCAGGATGAGATGTGAGAAATGTCTATACTTTGTGGTATGCTCGTGGTACAGGACGAACTAGGCAGAATGAAAGATACCAGAAATCCTCAAGCCATTCGGCATGATATCTACGAGCTTGATCCAATCGAAACTGATTACTTTAAGGAAGCAAGTGCAGATGCATCTCCATGCTTCGCCCCATTCATCGTCGAACTTCACACTCCTGCCGAATAATGACTTCGTAGGCTAGACAACACGTGAATTGGGCGAGGAGACGCGACGCCAGGAGGAGAAGGCCGCTGCTGACACAGAGCTCCGGTAGAGGTCTTGGTACTGGATTCTTCCGTGGCCTCACGGGTGCCCGTACTGCTGCTATTCATCATCCAGTGAATGACGATGGCTGAAAATAGAACTGAAACAATCATCAGCCCAATTAATTCCAACCAGTAGGAGCAAACTTCAAGGGCTTACTATCGCTTGTGCAACACATCATGCATAGCCACGCAACCTCACCCCGCAAACCCACTATGGTGATGCAGTTACTATGTGATGTTAGTATTTCACCACTTCGAGGAGTCGTCTTGTATTTGCAATACTTACAGTAGACTGCTGCCCATCGTGGCTATCGATCCGATAATGGTTCTCTTCGCTAGTTGTCGAAGCCTATGGTTCGGAGGGTTGGGAGAATGAGCGACGGGATGAAAGTAGCGGAAACCGGTGGTGGAGGGTAGCCATCGCAGTGAATATGTCCCTAATGGCCGGTTAAGAGACGTCAAGTCAGTGAACGCGAAGCTTAACTTACTGCAAAGTGGCTGCAGGAACAGAATCGTCAGGTATACCTAGAATAATGATAAGCATCTGTACTGTGAGCTCCGGCAGTGCAATCCCTTACAGTTGCAAGTGGATCTATTGCAATGAGTGGTATCATTGATTGCCATCGAAAGTAGATGCGACAACCACCACCATACAAATCCCAGACGGTACTAAAGTGGAAGAGTTGGTGGCTAGCCTATGGTGCGTTTGTGGAAAGAAACTTACTCTGCAATATTGTAGCTGCTAGTTGTACCGTAGATGCCTAGTGCTAGACATCAGCCAAAATGCAGGAGAACCTCAGAAGCAGGAAGCTCCGAGGGAGACAAAACGTGGCTGGGTCAACCCACCGATGACCAGGAAAGTGTTCCAGAGATATAGCTTAGACCTCAGCCTTGATTTCTTGGTGCTGCGAATGACGTGCTTCCGCAAGACTCAGCATGGGTTCAGTCAATTTCCTTTCTTTGGTGTATACTCACTGCACGATCAACAAGAAACAGGAAGATGAACTGAAATATGTTACTACCTAGGTAGAGAAAGCAAACTCATTTGAAAATGAGGCACTCACAATCTAGGTATATCATTCAGCATGCTGAGATCCATCATAATATTGATGAACAACTCTTACCTTGCTTCCCATGTAGATAATCGGGCATAGCAGTGCTGTTGCCCTGCATGTTGCTTTGCTCGTACCATTTCCGACCACAAACTGCATGATGAGGGCAGAGACTGAATATGCCAGAGATGTTCCATAAATGAGAAAAACGAGCCAGATAATCCACGGCAAGTTTCGCCAGCCCTTCCTCCTGACTCTCATTGCACGCAGTGTGATGAAGCTGGATAGTACACAGGCGGTTGTGATTTCGATAATGCAACTGCAAAGCTTTGCAGCGAACGGGCTGTGATACCAAATCCCTTCATCCTCTCTCTTGCTCAGAGTATCCATGGCTACGGCAACTCCTGGTGATATGGCAGTCATCGCAATGTCCGAGTAGAAGGTACTGTCCCAATGTTATGCTAGGCAAAGTTGTGCTAGGCGAAAGTATATTCGGCTCAAGATGTATGATTGATGTCGAAATTATAACGGATAGCGCTTGGCGTCGAGATCCGTCGAACATTTGGACGGGACGCCAATTAATATCCCCACTGGTGACCTTGAGGCTCTGGCAAGAATAAGAATGATTCAAGCGGAACTTCGGATTGTCCGTCCACACTGAGCATCGAGGCCCTCGAACATCACGCCACTGCTCCCCGCCATTTCTAACGCATGTGATCGGCCGTACAGCTAGCTCACTGCTGTATTGGACGGGGCGTACTGGCTTATCATCACTGGCATCAAGGAAAAAGCAAGACAGTCGGCGGTCTGATAGTTGCTTCCGTGTGCAATTGGGCTACCCCCCCGGTGCCGGCATCCTTTGGCAGATCATGCGAGACTAATGTACAGTACCAAGGAGTTATAGACCGGCAACACCGAGAGAAACGAAAAAAGCGCTAGACAGGGGATAGGCGCTAAATCATAAAATGATAGAATCTTAGGGTGATATGTTCCTATTTGATTCGCTCAACAGACTGCGATGCCTTGCCCACACCATTACAGAAGCATGCATCTCTTTGCATAAGTCTTCAGCATGACAGACGTCCCCCCATCTGGAAGAGGACTCACATTTTCTGGCGATAATTTTTTCTCCCGCCTCGAAGCGGCGAGATCTTGCTGGAAGACATCGTTTGGGCTGACGCCTACTTACCTACGTCCTCATAACTACTTAATAAGTAAGAAACAGATATTGCCATCTGCTAGTTTGACCCTCAAACCCCTTTGGCACACTAATGCTTAATAAGACTTGGTCCATTTCTACTCAACTGCCATTTTCTGTTCAAATTATGAAGTAACTGGTAGTACTTAGCCTAGACCCATGAAGCACATTGTTTTCATCCACACCGTCGCGTGGCGCGCCCTTCACGCAGCTTGCGCTGTGCTCATCTAGCATTGGATTCCGGATTGCACCAAGCGATGCGATTTGATTGGAATGTCTCCCCGGAAATTAATTTACCCAGCTACCTGAGTTTGGGGTGACGCAGTACGGAATAGTGATGCCATAGATATTGCTGGTCGTCTTGTGAAGAGTGGCGATTGTGCTGGCGAAAGCTGGATGAAATTTCAGTAGTGACATGGATATTTCGATAGGTTATCTAGGGCCTACTAACAGGATCTGGATGTGAAGGTCAAGTAACAGTCTTTGCATGTTCTATAAGTGTACTGTGTACATCGGGTTCAAGGAAACCACGGTAGCATGCTGTGGGTGTGACCCTGAGAAGGAGCATCTACAGCAAGGGTGAGCTGGAAATATTCCCCGGACAATCGCAAAGTCTTCTCTTCTGCCAAAAGAAACCCTCGTTCATGCTCTCGCATAAGGCTAAGACTTTGCGAATACGGTACAGCAGTCGTTTGACCGTCGTCATCTACATGACTGACATCTCTGCGCATTTGGACAGTGACCATTGTGACATAAGTCTGCCATCATCACAGCTCCGTCATAGTTTTCAAACCCCACAGAGCTCAACGAGTTCAATGCAATACCAGTTCGTCGAGCTTTTGTATCGGTTCCTCAATGCTGCGTCATATGTGATCTCCACATCAGCTCGGCAGTCCTGGGGACTACGATCTGCAAAGGAAATCAGGAGCTGACGTCCACCTAGTGGCAGCCATCAGGATCCATTGCTGAATAGTAACAACACACTAGAATATTCTGTCCTTCCATGCTTCGATCGATGCTACGACGAAGAAAAAGAAAAGCCACCAGCATAGCTTCTAGAAGGATGCACCTTCGAGAGGTGGTAAAGATCGTCAGTCAACTTTGACAGCTTCGGCAAGAGTGGCCAACGGCCCGATGCAGTCGTTGCTTCGTACTTTGAGGGATCGAAATCTCATCAATGACGGTACAGCTCATTCTCATAGGACCCGGACTTGTCCGGCATACCCCCAAACCTGACGCCAGTTCCTCGTCATATGGCGTGTTTTCATCGACGCTGTCCACAGCGGCATGGCCCATGGCACGCAGCCCTCAGGCAGAGAACGGCATCAATCAAGTGAAGATCATTATTGTGATAGGCTTGCTTCGGGATAATGGCATTCCACCCAACCATTGACGGATACGAACGCCTGCATGTGGTCTCGCTGGTCTGCAGACCCGGCTACACCAACGATGAGTGCCAGTCTTACCGTGTGGGAAGACACACCGCTTCGAATCACAGGGGGGGTCAAGAAGACGTGCCCTAATAGGCGTTCGGACGAGATAATCCGGACTAACATGTCTCGTAGGCGCAGCTCAGGTCCCCCCCTATCCCGGCCTGGTAGACCGCCAAAGAGGAAGCAGAGTGAATTCAGCCCAAAAGAACTGCGGGGGCTAGACCTATAGAACGGATTCAAAGCGGACTATAATCCAATCAGTTCGCTTGTCAAGTATTGTGGCTTTGCCAACGGTCATCGTACTTGAGTATAGGAGGGGGTGTTACTTCCATAGTTGAGATCGAATTAGGCGAACCCCAAGGCTCCCCGCTAGTTTATGCCCTAGAGACGCTGTTTTGACAATTGGTCAGGGGCAACGATTACTAGTTCTCTTTTCTTGCTAGAGAATTCTTGAATCAAGCATATAGAAACTAACATGTCGATTAGACAAGGGACTTTCCTTTTACTATCAGTCTCCGCAACGAGACGAGCAACGACCGTTCTGTGAGCGAGATGGATGCAGTTGTAACGTTCGACGAGACCTAAACCTCTAAGCCCGTATACCTCATCCATCTTCATGCTCTTATCGGGCCACTATAGAAGCTAACACGAAAGATGCGTTGGAGACCCTACCTGCGGAGATACTGGCCATTCCTGAATGCTAAGATGACTGCCATCACTTAAATAATGTGAGACGATTCATTCAACACTCTATTGGTTGATATCAATGCCTACCTAGCCGGAGGAGACCTTCTTGCAATATGAATGTTACAAATTCTGCCTTGCAGTCTTCTTAGTACATCTAGGCTCAAAGGATTAGTGAGCCAAAGCGAGGATAACAAGAAAATTGATTGGACACGCAAGTGGATACGTATGTCCATTTCTGGAGCTCGAGTTGCTGGTCGATCTATTCATTTTGCGGTATCCCTGATTCAAGAAGACGGAGTAGTCACTGAAAACCGCAAAACTAATTCGAAAACGTTTTCCATATTCCTCTGATCACGTGTCGAGTTTCTCTTAATGATTGTCATCTCATCTATTAACTACACACATTATCTACTTGATGCACATCTACCTCTGGACAACTGCTAACACCCACTCAAACACGGCACAAACGGCCATTCTGAGTCGGGAAGCCATCAAGCTGGCGCGTGACGTACCAACTCTCGCTGCCAACACCCAAGTTGGCATAAAAGACACCAGTGGGGTCAATCTTTTGCTTGAATGCGAGAAGGCGGGCGTACTTCTCGGTTCCGTAGAATGACTGCTGGAAGTCAGGCTCAGTCACGTCACCCTCGCTGGCATATCCGCCACCGCCGGGAGTGACATCCCGCCACGGCTTCATCCACTCGTTGGTCAACAGTTTCGACTTCTCAGCGACAACCTCAGCGGGCGTGCCAACGTCCCAGCCCATGACTGAAATGGCAAACATGGCAGCGCCGCGCCACGCCGGGTTGACGGCGTTGTCGGGGTAAGGGCCGGGGCCGCCGGTGATGCCGAAGCCAATGATCTGACCGCCCTTGTCGCTGAGACCCTTGATAGCCTCAAAGGTAGCGTTGAACTTGGTGGCATCGGAGAAGTTCTCAGTAGGGAAGAGACGGCACGCCGTCTTGGCGGCTGTGCCGCCGACGGACTCCTTGGGGAACCCGGCCTTCCAGGCGGGGAGGAAGCTCTTATGCTCGGTGTAAACGGGATCGACGGTGATGCCCAGCTCCGTCCACTTGGCGAACAGCGGAGCGGTGAGCTCCTTGAGTTGGACGAGAGTCATGTTGGGAGCGAACCAGGGGAGCATGGTGAAGGTGAGGGCATCGGGGCCGGTGTGGAAGATGTTCCAGTACTCGTAGTTGCCGGCCGCGTTCCAGGTGGGAAGTCCCTCCCAGTAGGCCTTGACGCCAGCCCAGAAGGCTTCGTGGCTGACGGTCGCGCTGGTGCTGAAGCTGAAGGTCATGACGGCGATGGTGTCGATCTTGGGGTAGGCTCTGACGACGTATGAGGTAACGACACCATAGGTGTCTTACGAATGGTCAGCTTGTTTTTCCTTTGATGGTGAATGGCTCAACTTACTTCCACCGCCGCCTCGAAGAGCCCAGAACAGCTCAGTGTTCTGCTTCTCGTTGGCAGTAACGAAGCGTCCATCAGGGGTGACGACATCGATGCTCAAGACCTGGAGAAATACAACATCAGTAAAGTAGCTTCGTGTAGAACATATGAAGAAGCATTCTTACCGAGTCAGCAGCAATTCCGTACTTGGGCGACAGCGGTGAGTGACCACCACCAGCAAGGTAGCCTCCAGCATAGCCGACAGTCATGCCCTCGCCTCCGACGGCAGTAACACCGAACTTCTCAGCTGCCTCATACAACTCGAAGCCCTGAACGCCGGCACCAACCTTGATAGCGGGGCCAGAGTAAGAGGAAGTGGTGTAGGTCTGATAGAAGTTGATGCTCTTGAGGTGGTGGGTCCAGACCGAGAGGGCACCGGATCCGGAAGAGCGACCGTTGAAGTCATGGCCAGTGTTCTTGACCACAAGACGAATGTTGAGGTTGCGGGCAAAGTTGACTGCGAGTTGGATCTGTGCTACATTCGTGGCCTTGACGACGTACGAGGGGAAGCCACCGACGGTGCAGGTGCCGGCGGAGCTGTTGTCGACTGAGGGCGGCATGCAAGTCAGGCCCTGGTACAGAGGGCTCATGACTGAGGTTGGATCCTCAGCACTTCAAATCTGATTAGCATATTGGAATCAAAACGTAGGGGAAAAGAGGCTTTGGCTTACTGGATCGTAGAGTTGGTCCACTGGTTGGTGATGTACTGGCAGCGAGTGGCATCATAGTTGCCAAAGTCATCAAAGCAAGAAGCGCCAATAGGCACTGTCTCGGTGACGGCAAATCCGGTGAGGAGGTTGAAGACGCTCCATACTGCCTTGTTTGGCCAGAGGAGATCCCCGGGATAAGTTTTGCACTTGTTGAAGGTGCGGGCCGTTCCAGAACGCTTCTCCCCGGCGGCAGTGGTGTCAAAGTCAAATAGGGAGATGTTGGAGAGGGAGAGGTCCGTGAGGTTGGCCAGAACGGCGTCCGTCAGCTGAACGCTCTCCTCTTTCAAGAGATCAGTGGAAGCGGCAACGACAACGGGTTCAGCGGCCGGGGCCACTGTGGACTTGTTGGCTTCTACAATATGAGCGACAGGTTAGTCATGATACAAGTCGCAGAGCACTCGTATGTGAACCCTCAGGGGTTCACATGTGGAAAGTCAAAATGCGAGATCGACATACCGATTACTGCATCGTCAACCACAATGGTCTGAGCGTACGCCAGAGGGAGGGCAGCGGCCAGGAGGAGGGCCTGGCTGAGTCGCGACATATTGTGTGCCAAGAGATTTGAGGGTTGAGAACTTCAGACTGAAGGTGTAAAAGATTGGACAGAGGGCGCGACAAGGAACGGGTTTGCGTGCTTGTCAGACAGGAACCTCCAATGGTTGATCACCGGGTTTGTGGCTGGCGGTGCGGCGGGAAAGAGGCGAGCGTGCAGAAACGAGCAGTACACCACGGGGTTTATAACATCCACGTGGAAGCGTTGCATCTTGCCATCCTTCCTTTACACACCGGTGACACTACGCGTATGGTTCGATAACAAGTGCGAGATATTCCCACTACCGTACTGCTCGTTGTCGATAGTCCACGGTTGATACTGCCTACCTGAGCCCGCCGACATATCCCGGCCGTTCTCGCAGTCGTGGCGGAGACCTTGCATTCGATAGCGGCAGAGGCCACGACATCTCACCAAATTACGAGGGTGAAAGACTCAAGGAGGAAGGGCCAATTTGGTCGAGAAGGGATCTTGGGTCCGCCCCCGGGCAGGAATTGTACCGGGGCCCGGGCTCGCTTACACAGATCTGGATGTCTGTTTGGCCAAGGTGTTCGGGGGGGGGGGGGGGGGGGGGGGGGGGGGGGGGGGGGGGGGGGGGCGGGCGCGCGGGGGGGGCGGGTGGGGGGGGGGGCGGTGGGGGGTGGGGGGGGGGGGGGGGGGGGGGGGGGGGGGGGGGGGGGGGGGGGGGGAGTAGACTAGAGCAACGTTGGTGGCGAGAGTCGTTGAAACCCCGCGCCGGAGGTTACAACGGCGGGACATTAACAGCATCGGCATTGCAAAACTGCGCAAGTACTGTAGCAGGCTGGCTGGTGTCTCCAAGACCGTGGTAACAACTTCTTCTAGACGTTCTCTCCCGAGTGCCGGCGCCGCACCGCCGACACTAACGATTTAAGACCATTGTCTGTGGGCAAAAGTCTACCGCACCTTTGGGCGAGCTCGTCTCTCGAGATGGCGCTGGATAGCGGCTGAGGCGTCTCCCAACTTTAAGCCAAGCTGAATAAGCCCCGTCTATTTCTAGTCTATCCGTACCTATCAGCGTCTGTCTTCCTCCGAAAGGTATGGTGGCGAAGAGAGTGTCGGGAGCTGGAGATCATTCATATGGAACATGGCCCCCCCGGTGAATCTTCTGCACGCTTTGTCCTCTTCCGAGCACCACCGCTCCACTGCGTACCTTGTCCGCAACGAAATTCCGGCTGTCCGCGTTAGTAAATCCCCACTACAGAGTCTAGGGATCCCCGAAAAGTGATCTTGGGGTTTGGTGTAATGGCGGGCAGGACTGAGGGATTTGCGAACGAACTGCCCATTATCCACATAATAAGGGATGTGGATAGCGAGCCGTGCCTCTGGGGAAGACGTTGAGTTTATCTTTGCGATCTTGCTAATGTCTCATAATTCGTCAGCTAAGGAAGATCAAATCAGACTGTATGGGTAGATGAACCATCAAATCGGTCACATCTACCAAAGACATGTCCAACCGACATGTCAAAATCGAGCAGAGAGAAATCGTACGACTTTTCCCATAGCCCCAAACGCATTCCTCATTGCAACCCATGGAAGACACCGCCAGAGTCCAGAAATTGAACAGCGAATCTTTGAGGGGATATTTGCCGTCTTAAGGGGGTTTCCTCTCTGCATGATTGTCTGCAAATTCGTCCTGCGCCAATGCGGCACAGCAAACTCTGTTTTTCTTCAACCCTGTATACCAGGTAACATTCAGAAATTACTACTTGGTCGCCAAGGGGTCAGGACTCAATCCGAGTCGCTGATGGACTTTCTACGATTCATTCACACCAACCCGCTAGTGCTCAACGCAGACAGCAGCTCCACCTCGCTCCTCTAATGCCTGACGGTGGTTGCCTGCATTTATTCAAAGGCGAAAACGTCCCTCGCAAGCCTCGGCCGAAGCGATGAAGAAAGAGGGGAACGTCGTATTCACAAATCACCGCGTAACAAAAGTGCGAGGTCGTATTATGAATCTCATTCACCGGCCCCATGTTCCGGGCACCACCACGACGCCTTACTCAGATTGTGATGCTATGCGGAACGAACTAATCCACTTACCGATCCAAGACCGCATGGCAGGCTTCTATCCGGTGGGCTTTTGCAAAAATACGATTCGTGTTGGGCCAGAACACGGTCGGCCAACAACATATTTCAGCTCAAATATGTGTTGGCCTAGGGTTGATGGAATTTCCCATAGTGGTGACTGGGCATACGCAGCAAAGCCGGAGGAGTATCGAGCATGTACGGATGAAATGTGAGGCTGTCCTTCGATGGATGATGCGAAGTACCTACCTCATACAGAACCAATGATACCCCGTACAGAATGATTGAAACATCCAGATTTGACAATGCAATTGATTGCACGTGCCCTTCCGCAAGAAACGCTGCATTATGTGACTCTACACTCTATCCTCCAATTCCAACATGTCTCATCGTCGATAGCTTTCTGCCTGACTGGACCATCTACAACATGGATGTCTCAGACGTTACCGAACAGTCTTGCCTCCATGGCGTATTGATAGTCCAAATGGAGCAAGGAAACCGGATTGTCGGTATTAAGCTTTCAAGTTATCTGGAATAGTCCGCAGCAATCCTTGTCTAGAGGCAGCAGAGGACTGCAGGAACCTGATAGACGAGAGCCAGCAGTGTTCGAGAATGCGCCATCCTTGACAGGTCCCTGGCATCTTCTCGAACGCCATTGCACAACCAGCCACTCACCAGTCTTCCTTTTCATATTTACTAGGGCAAGCCTCGGGTACGCAGAGCCCATGGATCCTGGAGTCTGAAGGAGTATTCCCTGCTTGGCAGTGAGCCTGCGAGCACAAGATCTCAATGTCGCCTGGTGCTGGCGGAGGAACGACCCTGAATCAGTGTGCTGCCGGCCTCTGGTCTCCGGCCAGGGATGCAGCAATGCAACCCAAGTTGCGGAGATTTGAAGAACTTCAGCAAGTTTTCTGCGCCAACCCCCAAGTCTCCTCTCTGCCCTGTTCTCTTACTATCCGTGGAAATCACCGACCGGGAAGTTGCGAGACTAGTCCGTCTCGACCCCAGCCTTACCATGAAACGGGGTCGTAGAGAATGCAGGTCTGTCACGATTGGCGTACCACTAGACAGGATCGAATACTGAATACTCCCCCTTCCTGTCCACTTGAACACACTGCTCCTGTAGAGGCCTCAGATGAACGTTACCTTGCTTCCTTGTTCAGCGTAAGATCATAGCTAGTCTCCTGGTTTTCTCCTGTTACGGATGGCGATGGTAAGCAACTATGCTCAAGAACACTGACCAAGCGTTCCCAAGATCAAGATCGAAATGCTGATGGCTCCCCCTTCCCAAGAGTAGCCGATACGAGATACGATCTCTCAGTGACTCAGGAGGAAATTCAAGACCCAACACCTTGTATATATCTCACAAACTCTCCCACGGACCCATCGCGCAACCCGACCCCCGAGCCTTTTCTTCGACCTCTCCCCGGCCTGCTCTTCCACCCCCGGATTCCAAGTTTGACTTTGGCGCCAAGTCTGCAGAGGTTCAAACTTTACTTTCTTTCCATTAGGGCAGTTCAACTTCCATACTCGTTCTTCAACTTTGTGACGAGGGCCAGACATGGAACTCGTCGCTCAGCGGGCCGTTGAGGCTCGGTGGGCTAATGTCGAGGACCTACCATCGACGCCTTTGCAGAAGGTGATCATGGCGATTCTGTTCTTATTCACTTTGACTGCATTCTTGACCTATGCCTTGAGAATGTACAGCAAATGGACATCAAAACAGATTGGACTTGGTAAGTCATCCAACCCAAGCTTTTCTCGTGGAGTGTTCGTCTCATAATTCCATCAGATGACTGGTTCATGACCGGAGCCATGGTAAGACCAGGCCTGCCTCCACCGGCAGAGTGCCGATCACCACCTTTCGGTGTTGCCTGCCCTGACTAACATCAACATGGCAGTTCTTCTCAATGGCACTACTGGCTCCAACATACATGTTCTTCAAGTACTACTACGCCGGCTTCCCTACCGCAGCGCTACCTGCAGACTGGGATCCCGCCCCCATGCTGTTCTGGAACTGGATCATGCAGGTCCTCTACAATCCCATCCTCGCGCTCGTGAAATCATCGATTCTGGTCTTTTTGCTACGTCTAGGTGGGCACAAGCGCGGTGTACGATGGACCATTTACGCCCTCAATGCCATCAACCTGGCGACAATGGTGGCCATTTTCTTGGTGGTGCTATTTCAGACTCTTCCGATAAACGCTTTCTGGGATTCGACTATTCCCAAGCAAAGAGAAATTGATGGACCGTTATTTTACATCGTCAGCGCCATAATCACCATCATCACCGACTTCTTCGTTCTCGCCATTCCGTTCTGGATCTTCCTCGGGTTGAAAATGCGCATGGCCGCCAAGATTGGATTGATAGTGGTATTCCTAGCAGGTGGAGTGTAAGTCATGGCACCTGAAAGATCGTCATGAAACCAGAAGGACTGGATTGACCTCGTATTTGAACCTTTTGATGCTGACTTTGTGGAAGGTCAATCATTGTGGCCATTCTCCGTGTCCACGAACTCCGAAAGAAGTTTTACAATATCACCCCTGGCTACGATCCCCGAGACGGCATTGGCGACACATACAGCGCAATCGAAGTCAACCTCTCCATCATCGCCGCCTGCGTCCCGGCTTTGCGGCCACTCTTCCGCAAATGGATGCCGGGCATGTTCTCCAACAAGAGCAGCGCCGACAACGCAGGATACAACAGCAGTCAATACGGTCGTTACGGTGCCGGCACTGGGAACGGCACGGGAACCGGTCGACTGAATCGGAATACTGTCGGCAACGGGTTCCCGCTGAAGGACATGCGAAGCACACACACCGAAATCCGAGGCCACTCACCAGACGGTAGTGAAGAGGAGATTATGACCTATAACGGCATCATCAAGACGACCAATGTAAGAGCGAAGACAAAGAATGATTTAATGGTTTGAGGATACTAAGGAGTTTAACAAGGTTCATGTCTCGTATGATGATTCGGTTATGACAGATAAGGACTCAGGACGGGAGCAATTGAATTCGGAGAAGCCGGTGAGGCGCAACAGCAAGTTCGGGGTCGGTTCAAAGTAACGGTTGGGTTGAAGGAGCACGAGACTTTGGGAAGGGAATTGGTATGAGCGCATGATCAAAAATTACTTATTTCGCTATTTAATGATCTCACTGTGTGTACTGGAAGCGCCAGTTATTTCCTCTGTTCGTAGAAGCTGCGTTGAGCATGATATCCAAACTTTTCTATCAGCATTGATGACACCCTCAACCCCAGACATGAGAATCAGTTTGCTTAGAGACCTGTCAAGATGTCAGCCATGACTGAACGATGGCTTATCAACGTGTATTGACTAATTTCGGACAAATCCGTACTTCTATGCGCGAGGTCGTGAAACGAGTTGGCATTGCCATCTAGCAGTCATAGGCCCATCCCAGGCAAGTTCCATCTGTGCAGGCAACGCAGTCCTTCTTTCCATTTACGCATTCCTGACAATAGAAACCATCTCGGGTCTGGCGGGGTTCGACGGCATTGCCAGGAACAGCTGGAGCCGCAGCTGCAAAACCGGTGAGGAGAGCGAGCGTAGTGACGATGGCCGCGAATCTCATATTGAAACGAGTTCCTCTAGATTGATGAAAATAGGTGTCGATGTCAAATATGCAACATGTGCTGAAGGCTAAAACGTACTTGGTTTTCCGACTCAGCAACAGTAGGACATCAGCGCCTTCGGACGACCGGTCTATATAGGTATTTAGTTTGAACATGCCTTACTTAGGAATTTCTTCATCACACATGGCAAGAGTCACTTCTTCCCTTTTGTTCGCCTTCGGACATCCGGGAAGAGCATACGCTGCGACGAACAGCTGGTAACCTCATCTCTCCCAAGTCGGATACTCTTTTGAGGCAACTCGTGCAGCAATGGCTGTGACATGCATTGATACGAGGTCTTCGAAGAGACAGATTGGGACAACTCTTGGTGGAAAAGCCAGTTTCCAAGCCCCACAGAGGGAAATCAGACGACTCCGATGCATAGGTGGTGGAAACAGGATAAACCACATGTCAAATAGGGTAGGTGAAAGATGAACGTTGCCCCACAGTAGATGGTAGACTATCTTCCGCCTTCTCTTGGCCTAAGTCTAGGCGGATATGGTGTTATAGACGGAATCCGGCCAGCGTTAAGATGCATAGCCGTCGGCGCCAACCTTAATTACCCACTGTTCGCTTGAATGTTTTAGTTGACAGTGGGACTCAAGAGCAACGAACCAGAAGTCGCATATTCTCGCCAGGCTGCACCAAGCTCCCAATGCCGCATCCGCTCTGAAACTTGTTCACACGCTGTACTGCAATGCTTGACGCCCACGCGATAAACTTCTTTGGTTCTATATAGTCATTCGAGTTTCATTATTCTATTGTCGACAATTGTGTTCTGTTAATGATACGGAAGCTTGGAGAATCATAATGTAGGCAGCTGGAGAACACGAACTTTGCCAATTTGTGCTGGGTGCTTGGGCTAGCACCGCAGGAGGATTGCGCATTCTGACGAAACATGGCTAGTACGCATAGAATAGCTCGATGGCTCATCAGCTGCTCAAGTATTGTTCAACAAACTAGGTAGCGTGAGCGAGCGAATGGGCCTTTATCTAGAAAAACGACTGGGACATGTGACAATTGAATCATGGCATTAGGCATTGGTAAAAAGCTGATGATTGCTTATATCTTTTGACGCAACACGCTAAAATTACAATGCTGCCTGCAAATCTCCAGTCGTCTTAACAGTGGTCGGCTTAGCCAGTGCAGCACTGGGTGTCGCATCGCTCGCCCTAAACACAAGTCATTAGGACAGCTAGTCAAGACGAGAAGAGAGAATCAAACTTACGGCCTCAGTCGTAGTCTTTGACGGTCCCAGAGAGCGTTCGAATCCCTTGCCTTTACACATTTCGTTCAGGGATTCGGTGATACCATCGGCAAAGCACAAGCAGGCGCCTCCAGTGCAGTATGTGATAGTCGACGAACAGGACTGGGCGGCGACGCCAGCAGCCAGAAGGACAGCCGTGTAGAAGGAAGATAACTGCATATTTCTCAAAGCGTATTGGAAGTGAGTGATGCTGTGAAGAGGGTGTCTTGAAATTGGCCGTGGGATGGGGAGTTCAAAACCATTTATAACTTGAGCCGACCTCGAACGCCTGTGTCATTTTGTTGATATTGCGTTCCCACAATGCCAACATTGGTGCCACTGGGGAACCGGGATCTGCTCAAGATGTATCTGAAATAGTAGGACGACCCTTGTTGAGCCTGGCCACCTGAAGCAACTGCGGCCGGTCAACGTGGGGTCGTCTGGAGATGCCGTTCACTGGGATGGTCTGAGACAGACAGCCGGGCTCGCTCAACCCGCACATCCGACGATCGGGTTCGTCCGACAACCTATCGACCTAGTTGATGACCCTAAGTTTGGACGCAAATTCCGGACTGTTGGAGTAGCTTGTGACGAAATAATAGTACCCTGGATACGAAGCCACAACGGGCGAATTGTTCGAGGACATGTTCGGCCTGGTGGATTCGATGATGGCGTAGACATAACTCACCAAACCGAGTCCCACTAAAGGAGCCTCCGGCTCCATGTTTCACACTCTCTCATTCTATCTTACTTACGTTGTTATCTGTCTATTGGAAAATGCAAGCTGGACAGTCATACAGCAGGCTCGGGTATACGCACCTTGGGGAGACTGAATGACTTATCAAATTGATGGCGTGAAATAGTTTTCCTCAGACTATCATCTACCGAACCATATCAAACAGTACCTATTTTCTTATTAAGGTAGTCGGCATGACCCTGGTCTTCATCAAAAATACATCTGACACTTGCGACGGGATGGACGATTTACTTTCGGACAGAACCCCCGAGATTCAGATCTTCAGGTTGTAGGTAAATAGACAGCCGTACCACATATTAGCTAATTCATCTTCTTCATGTCTTACATACTATCAAGCTCGTGTTCTCCACCAAGTGCCTCAGATTCCCTGTTGTTTCAGATCCAACGGTACCATGATTCGTAATGATGGCACCTCATCGGGCAAGTGATTCCGCGAAAACTGACTCAGGAACTACTCAACGTGAAAAGTAGAGACGACTTCAAAAGTCTAAAGAATGGGATTCTAGTGGGTATGTCCACCAGTAAAGAAGTACTTAATACGGCGGTTGGGAACTCCTTGGCAACGCTATGGTACTCGCACACGTGTGACGCCAGGCGCGCTATGCAAAAAGCCGGTTGCTGCGCGACTCGCGGTACAATTTGGAGCAGTCTTTGCTACTGAGGTTTTCCTAGAAAGAATCTTAAAGACATGGTCTGAATCTTAACAACCGCGGGTGTTCATATTCCAAAAGCTCTCCGGGACGTGGCTGAACTAATTTATAGGCTGACGAGGCCTTTTGACTTTGGTCTCTGTTACTTGAATTGCCGTTATTTTAACCATTGGCGTCAGCGAGAAAAGCCCTTCCGTACTTTAATATTGAACTCTAAGTCTCACAACCAGCACCGTGCACCAGCACACTACGATTCTTTTCCTGTGTTGAAATCTGCACATCAAGAGCAGGGTTACCCTGGAAGAAGTTGACCGGTTTCAGCCCTACCATCATTTTCTCGCACGGCATCACCGGCCAGTCTTCGATACGAGGGTTATGCGTAGACCCAAACGTGTGCCAGACTACGATATCCTCGTTGCGCACCGAAGACGAGTCACCGTCCTTCCGTTGCTCTACCCAGGATCCGATGCCATCGTCTCCGATTGATTGCATGGTGAACCTCCCGGCCGGGAAGAATTCGTCGTCGTGATGTCGTGTCACCCAGACAGCGTGAGATGTGTACCTTGCACGCTTGCCGTGCCATGAGTTTGGCTGGGCGAGGAGAAGCTGGCTGTAGTGGGGTAGAAGCTTGAAGCCGACAGAAGTTCCTGTAGTTGAATTGGTGACATTCTCATTGACAATCTTGAAAGTTTTGTTCGTGTTGAAATCGAGATCCAAGCCTGCCTCTTTCTCAATGACTTGTGACGTTGTGGTGTATCCTACACCAAAAGGGTTATACGTGTCTGTGTCTCCACTGAAGGGAATCGGGTGAGACTCTTCGACAACCAAGGAGTTTTGAGGCCCATCGATAGCAGCGTCCATCCTCAAGCAGAAGATGTGTTGGTGATACGGCGCCAACACACCTGGGGCGACAATGGTCCCCCATGGAACCTTGGTGTCAAGGTCAATTGGTGCTGTCGACATGATGCCCGTGGCACGGACTTCGTAGAAGATTGACCCATCCTGCTGAAAATAGAAGAGGAAGATGTACTCGTAGTTGCTGACCGTGATGATTGTCTGCAGTACCAGAACTCTAGATCTCGTGACCACAGCGTTCCCCGTCCGGAAGTTTGTATGCTTCCAAAGGATACCATCATCGATTTCGTGACAGCAAATAACGTTTGGCATCTTCAAAGGTTCTCCTGATGAGGTGCTGAGCCAGCCGTCAAAGTACTCGATATGCCCGAGACAATCGCAGCCCAACTTGAGATTATTGGCGTTGATTCCTGCGCCGTCGTTTCCCAAATCAAAAGCGGCTTTCCGAGGGTAGGGGCATCGAGGATCTCCGTAAGGCACGAACATCTCGGCTAGAGACAGACGATGAAATAGACTGCGGCCCTCGAAACGGATGTCGTGAAGAGTCATGCCCTCTCTATAGTTGAAGCCGACTCTCAATGTCCACTTTTCCCAAGAAACATGGTTTTCCTCGATACTGAACGACGGACCCTCGGGCTGGGAGACGTGGTACGGCTTTGTCGTTGTTCTGCGCTCTTGTACGAAATCTGGATGATACTCGCTGTTGGAATGGATTTTGCGGCGATCAAATTCCTTGCCCTCGTCACTGAGCTTATCGTGCTCTCCAGAAGGCAGACGGTAGATTTTGACCACATCGAGGGAGTTGGATACCTCCGCACATATGTCCAACGGGTAGGCATAGTAATTCGCGTCGGGGTTGTCAGAGAGTCGCATATAAAACCATGCCTAAAGTCTTAAGTTCAATATTGTATATGCGCGGAATATGTTGTAATCTCACCATTGTCCAGCGGTCTTTCATATCCTTCATGCCGTCGGTAGCATATGCCCATGGCTCAACGACGACGGTAGCGCCTTCTGGTAGTTTGAGGGCAGTGATCTCCCGTTGAATGTTCTCATCTTCCAGGCAAGCCGCAGCAACTTGTGCCATAAAGTCAGTGTCGATGAAGGAATGGCGACCTGGTAGCGGGGTGGTAGAAGCGACGCTCGCAGTGTCCAAGTTGACAATCATCTCGTGCAAAGTTTTGGCGACGTAAGCCTGCACTCTGGCCTGTCTTTCCGGGTGGACGGCATCTCTATTACCGCCATGCTCGCTGTCGAGGAACTTGACCAGATCTTTCTTTGGTGGCTCAACGAGAGAGATTGCTCGGTAGAATATCTTCTTGCCGTGGTTCGACTCACGGACGATTCCGGCGGCCTGCATTATGTCAACAATCATATTGCATACGTAGCTCCTATAGTATTAATCTCTTGAAGATCACTCACCTGGCTTATTTCTTCTGGTCGTAGAGGATCAAGTGGATGGGGTTTCCCCTTCTTGTTAGCGTCTCCCATGTTTATTCTTCACCACTAGGAGTAACAAGGAGGTAACCTGACGGATGGCACTGAATAGGAGTAAAGTTTGGCTATCGGTACATTGAATGAGAGGTAGAGAGGCTTTAAATAGGTTGT